AAAATTAGTGAATATTCTTCAGACGTTCTAAAGTAAAGGTGAACAGCGTTTTTCTTAAAAATATCACTGTTATGTAGTTAAAAAAATCCGGAAAGTTCTCGCTTCGTGACTTGTTCAATACTTCGAACGCGGCTCGAGTCCGTCCCGACCTTCTGTCAAAGCCTCGTGCTGCGGACTCTCTCGCGGACCCTCTCTCTCGCACCGTCACCTCTCATTGGCCAGTGTTTTTCGTTAATAACTCGTAAACAAAGCCGCGGATTGCATTTTCGCAAAGGAAAAAGTTACTTCAAATGACCTCAGCTACCCCTCATTTTCGGTTGTTAAAATAATTGTGGGACACCCTGTATATATATATATATATATATATACTTACATTTGTTTTAAATTATATATATATATAATTTAAAACAAATGTAAGTATCTAAAATTTTGTATTATTACTATCGTCGATTCAAACAATGACCCCTGTCGCAATTAACATATCAAACATGGTTATACACTGTAACTTATCTATTGCAGATAATATTTCAACATTATATGTATCACGTAAAAGAGAAAATTCATCGTGGCGCCACGGACAATTTCTGTAAAACCGGCGTGGCATTTAACGTGTTAAAGGCGAGGAAAAGACATTGGACATTTGTGGACCAGCTTACGAAGGAGGGTCAAATATCGGGCAATTTCGCAACTTGAAAACCGTTTCTCCCGATCTAAGATATTTCCCATTATGAATTAGGAAGGTGATATAGGGTAATTTTCTAGGGCGACTGTAGGCGCCAAGATAAGGATGATGAATTTACGCGGTATACAGACAGAATTTAAATTACCTTGGGCGCTTCTTGCTACGACCAACTCCACCAGACCACGTGCCTTCTGAAGAATCGAGATTGCCTGCTCATGAGAGATATTCGAGTCTAGTGGCTGGCCATCTATCGCCAATATCTGATCTCCCTCTACCAATCGGCCATCACTGAAACATAGAACGATTGCAGCTTTAATGAGAATGGATCGGCGTGTTTTATTGCCTTCGAATCAACGTCCGGTTAAAAGAACACGAATGGAAGCTGCTAATGAATCATTACTACCGTTTCTATTGTTCTGACTAAGAAACGAAGACAAATAACGAATCACTGCTACGAGGGGAACAAAATAACTCGATCACTTTGAATATTTATCTGTCTTTTATCTATCTGTTTATCTGCCTTTTATGATGTTATTGTTTGGACAAAAATTATCTGCGACGAAAGAAAGATATTTTTAGGGTCGCACCTTTTTGTGATTTTAATTTCATCGATGTTCTCGTGAAACCGGGAGTCTATGTACAGTAACTTCTCCCTAATTCGCAATGAGATTGCGCACAAAAATGGACAATTTGGGGAGAGATTATTCGAGCCTCGCGGTTCGTTTTTATTGTTACCGATTGTCAAGAACTATAAAAACGAGACGCGATCTCCACTTCCTGAATTGTCCATTCTTTAGCGCAATTTGAGCGCGAATTAGGGAGAAATTACTGTACATTTTTATCATTGCGATGTAATATCTGGGGTCAAGAAATGTCATGCAATACCATAACCTTGGCATAATCATGAATAAAAAATCATGATCTTAAAAAAATCACGAAGAATAAGACCGCGAGACAAATTTTCTGTTTATCATTGCTAGACTATGCATCTTTATGCAATTACGGCATCTGTAGATTTTTCAAATGCAAGAGAACTAACAGAGTTTTGCAAGAGAACTAACAGTTCTTTTGCAAGAAAATTAACAAGATCTAATAGCTTTTATTTTCCTTCTACAATTGGTAACCTTTTAGTTCACGAAGATAACCTTTCTGTAATTCTATTATATGTAGAATGAATTATTATACATATACATATAAAAGATATTATATACTTTGATGTTTTTCACACTATCAAAAACAAATAAAATATTCGAAGTGATGAAATTATTTTGTTCACCCAATGTATATTTTAAACAAAATCTGTTAACGGTATCGTGACACGGTGAAACATTTTTTATTTTTCAATGATATCAATATTGCTCAGTTATGAATTAATTAAAACACAGTTTTCTTAACCGTGCAATATTACTAATACAGTATTATACAATATTTTTATTATTCTTATATATAGTATTACTAATACAGAATTCCTAACATTATTTATCGATATAGAACGATATGCCTCGCAAATTATTTATTTCATGTTGGAGACACGAATATCGTTTCGTAACAACTTTTCCTTAACACTAGAATTATCAAGCCCTAAACGCGACTAATGTATATTGTTTCATAACAATGACAAGACTGGATTTATTTAAAATTCGTATCATTAATATTACAATATACGTATACTTCAATAAATAAGAGTACCCAAAAATCTCTCCTAGAAATATTTTTGTAACATCAGGAACTGTAAATGGAAAAATCAGGAGCCAGTCATTTTGACTAGTTTGCTAGTACTAGCGTTAAGCGGATAAACATTTTTGCCATAGCGAAAAGTCCGCGGACTATTCTAACAGAAGTTCAAAAGGCGATTTCACAGTCCAAAAATCGTATCATTTTCACCACACGATTTTCCTCCATTGTGTTCACGCAGTGTTCCATTATTCACGGAACTCCTGGGTTCCCCAATGTTAATTGCCAGTTTCTACAGTAGTTTCCAGATCTTTTGATCGGGCCAATCGCCGATAAAAACGCGAAACTATGGAACAAAGAGTAACTGTTCATCGGGTATTGGAGAATTCGATCCAGCCGTTTACAGCAATGGGTACATCCCGCAGCCATTAGAATCTATTAACCGCGATAATTGGGGATAGTCACGATTAAACATCTCGCATTTACATAATAACATTTCCGTCGAGCCGGGATGCGAATTGATTATAAATTAATGAAACACGCGACGTTAGAACCCGGAATGTACCGTGTCCGAATTAACAATTCAAGTGCGAACACAGCGAATCCACTTGAACTAGATTTATCTGAATCGTTGCTATCCACGAATAAGTATTAATTACTGTTCTATCGCATATTGTAAAAAAAAATGATGAAGTGAAAATTATAGAAAAAATTGCAGATACCCAGTATATCTATACATAGTATATACTATATGTATATACTACATATATATATATATATATATATATATATATATATATATATATTCAATAGTAAATATTAATAATATATTTTTTTATACAAATATATATAATATAATAATATAATATTTATAACAATATTTATAAAAATATATATATAATAATAATATATATAATAATATATATATAATTATATAATATATATAATATAATAATATAATATTTATAAAAACATATATATAATAATAATATATATAACAAATAAATATATATTTACACATCCAGGCTTCGCTCTTTCCATTTGTCTGCGTCTTTCGTTTCGTCGCTCAGCCAGCAACCGCGCCCACACAGATTAAAACTACGTTTGGTTTTCATATTTCTATATTTATATTTCAAAGAAATATTTTTGCTGTGTTCTTCATCGTGGAGATTACAACAACAAAAAACCGATGGAAAGTCAAATATCACGTGAAACAATACGTTGAACTTCGTGAAGAATATTCAGGAAATTCACGCTATTTGTCGTCCATTAAAGGTGGTCCATTAAAATGAGAGGGTCCGCGTAGGTCGTGAGATAGGAGTGTCACAGAGCCGACCGTAATCTGTCAAAAATCCAGGAAGCTGAAGTACGGAAACCAGCTCGGCAAGACACGAATCCCATTTTTGAATCTGCTCCAACTGTCCGTTGGTTCGCACAGGTGGCTCGTTATTAACGGTCTATCGGTTCCACAGGACATTCTCGTCATATTTGAATGGCGAATGAATTCTTAACGAGGTCAAATTGCTACGGCCCGTTACATTCCCCGCGAACAAAATTTAAAGTACCACAGAGACAAGAGAATCACTTCGATCGCAATTTATCCGTCGTTCGATAGGTTCGGGTTCATATGTTCGATTGTGATCGCGTTGCAGCCAACAAACACGCTATCAACTTTTTTCACTCTGCTCGTGACATTTTCCATGATACGGCAAACGTAATCCCAGATGGCATGAGAATTGTAAAGTGTAAAGTTGCAGAATATTTAGAAAACACGACGAAAACACGACGCAATTTGGGAAGAGGAGATACGATTATTCGAGCCTCGCGTCTTGTTTACGAAACTAGTGAACCTTCAGATAGAAATGGACCGCTACCTCTAGATATAAAATTGCAATTTTTTGGAAAAGTTCAATTTACACTGAGATGAGATGTAAGAGTTGAACATCGCGATGCATAACTTCCTCGATTATGAAGGAGAAACAACGATGCTTTAATTACATTGTGGTTACACGTGAAATTATGTTAGGAATATTCACCAATCA